CATCATATAAATAAATAGGCCCCCCAGCCTGGGCCGGCCTACCCCGCAACCAACGGGGGAAGCCCGCTGATGCCCCCCCCGTTTCGCTCCCCAGAGGCGGCCCGGAGAGGCCAAGAGGGTGCCAAAACGAGCTAAGGGGGTTCCAAGAGGCCCCCAAGACGGTGCAAGAAGGTCCCGAGCTGCCCAATACGGCCCAGGAGGACTTCCAGAGCACTCCCAAGAGGGATCCAAGAGGCCCAAATCATTAAATTCCCATGGGGAAACGTACATGTTTAGCATGTGCGATTTTTCAGCTGTCGCGGCTTTCGAGACGGTCCAAGAGGCTCCCAAGACTTCCTCAAGACAGCCCGAGACGTTCCCACGAGGCCCCCGAGCCAGCCCAAGAGGGCGCCAAGACGGCCCAAGGGCCGCCTAAGACGGCCAAGTTGACCCCAAGACGGCGCCCAAGACGGCCCAAGAAGGCCCCGAGTCGCCCAAGACGGCCAGAGATGGCCCCAAGACGGTCCAAGCAGGCTCCGAGGCGTCCCAAGAGGCCTCCAAGAGCACTCCCACGAGGGCCACAAGAAGACACAATCGTTGGGTTCCGACAGGAGAACGTACATTTGTATCACATATATATATATAGAGATATAAATGTATGTGTGTATGTATGTATATATGTCTGTATGTATGTATGTATGCATGCATGCATGCATGCATGCATGCATGCATGCATGTATACATGTTTGCATGCATGCATGCATGCATGTATGTATGTATGTATGTATGCATGCATATGTATATGTATGTGTGTATGTATGCGTGTATGTGTGTATGTGTGTATGTGTGTATGTATGTATGTATGTATGTATGTATGTATGTATGCATGCATGCATGTATATATATATATATATATATGTATGTATGTATGTATGTATGTATGTATGTATGTATGTATGTATGTTGTATGTTGTATGCATGCATGCATGCCTGCATGCTGCATGCATGCATGCTATGCATTCATGTATGTATGATGTAGTAATGTATGTCTGTTGTATGTATGTATATATGGTCTGTCCACCCCCGGGTATAGTAGGGTATGTATGTTAATGTATGTATGTTGTATGTATGTATGTGTGTGTGTATGTATGTATGTATGTATGTATGTGTATATGTATATATATATATATATATATATGTATAGGTGTATGTCTGCTTATCTGTCTAATATATATATGTATATATATATACATATATATACTCCTCTTCCTATAATTTTGCAAGCCCGGGCGGCCCCCCCAAAAAAAAAACCCGGATTCTTGGGATCTGGGGCTTTGGGACCCTCCGGACGGGCCTCGAAGCGGCCCCCCGTGCCTCGCAGGGCGTTTTGCCAAGCCTTCCCGGCACACCTAGGGCGATCAGGGGAGTCATCGGAGACGTCCCAGAGACCCCCCTGACAGCACAAGAGCGCTCCAAGAGTGACCGACCTGACCTCAAGATGGCCTAAGAGGTCTCCAGGACGGCCCCAAAGAGGCCTCCAAGAGCACTCCCAAGAAGGCCCCAAGAGGCAAAAATCATTGATGTTCTGTTGGTTTTTGGTGAATTTTGGGGTTCTCCTCTTTCCGGCTTCCCGACGCTCCAAGACGGCAGTCTTTTGGGCGTCCGAAGCCGCCTGGGAGGCTCCAAAATCGCCCCACAGCCATCCGAAAGAGCTTCCAGGCAGTCCAAGCGAGCCCCAAAACGGAACAACACGGGTCCAAGATGGCCCTCAGAGAGCCCCATAGCGGCCCAAGATGGCCCCAAGACACCCTCCGAAGCATTCCAAATCGTGACCCGGTCGTTCAGCGAGACCGCGGTTGGAGGCAGGGTGGCCCGAGGAAGCCCCCAGAGGCCCCCAGAATACGCCCAGGAGGCCTCCAGAAGGTCTTAAGAATGCCTGGAACAACTTGTGTGAGGCCCCCAGAGGCTCTCCAAGGAGGAGCCTCCGCAAAAAAGAGCTGAGGAGGATGGGGAGAATGCGCAGGGTATGGCGAAAAGGAGGAAAAAAAAACATGGAGGAATAATATCGAAGAGCGTTATTATAGCGGCGATGCCGGAAACGGCAACAAGGAGTTATCGCTAAATTGTCGGCTTGACCTTCCTGCTATTCCGCCTGCATACCAAGTTTCAAGGACCAAGGTGCATGGCGCGAAGCGCCACTGCAGTCTTGTGTGTATACATACATACATACATACATACATACATACATACATACATACATACATACGTACATACATACATACATACATACATACATACATATATATGTCTATATCTATATCTCTTTCTATATATATATATGTGTGTGTGTGCGCGTGTGTGTGTGTATATTCCTCTTCCTATATTTTTACAAGTCCGGGCGGGGGGACCCCACACCCAAAACCGGATTCCCGGGATCTGGGGTTTTGGGACCCTCTGGACGGGCCTCGAAGCGGCCCCCCGGGCCTCGCAGGGCGGTTTGCCAAGCCTTCCCAGCACACCTATAGGGCGATCAGGGGGGTCATCGGAGGGGTCATGTGTGTGTGTATATATATATATATACACACAGGGGGTGCCGGCCTGCCGGCTCCTGGGAGGCCCCAGATCGGCCCCCACAGCGCCCACACGGCCGTCAAGGCGGCTCAGGACGCCCTCCAGGGCTCTCGGGCGGCTCGCGAGGCGTCTCGAACGGCCCCAGAGGCGTCCAAGACGCTTGAAGACCGCTCCAAGAGGTCCCCCAGGAGGGCCCCGAGAAGCAAACACCGTTCATTTTTTGGGGTATATATACATATATATATAATATATATATATGTGATGTTTTTTACCGCAGGCGTTTTTTCATTACGGTCCCAAATGACCCAAGAGGTCTTCCACATCATTCTTGATGTTGCATTTGTGCGTGCGCATCTGCACGCAGCTGTGCGACTGTCATGGGCTGGAGCTTGCTAGAACCTTAGCGCGCGCGAAGCGCGCACGGTTCTAGCATATATGTATACATAGGTATGTGCAGATGTGTAAATCTTATATATATATATATGTATACCTATATTTATGTATTTGTATGTGTACATGTGTATGTATAAGTATATGCTTATGTATATGTATGTGTATACGTATGTGTATACGTATATGTATATGTACATGTCTATGTATATGTATATGAATGTGTACGTGTATATGTATATGTTTATGCATATGTAAAGTATATACAGCCTCCTCCTCGAAAAACGCCCCGCCCACATCCGTAACATCGGGCACCCTTTTTTGATACCCCCTCCTCGGCGCCTCCAGCGGGCATGAAGACATCCAAGAGGCCTCCAAGACGGCCCAAGAAGGCCCAAAGATGGTCCAAGAGGGCCCCGAGACGGCCAAAGATCGCTTCAAGACGCCCAAGATGGCCTGAAGACGGCCCAGGAGGCCCCCCAGGCGCCTCAAGAGGTCGTCAAGAGGACCCCCAAGATGGTTTCAAGAGGCAAAAATGGCCACATTCCCTTCGGAAAACGTATATTGTTTTAGAAGATTCGCCTCTGGAGCTTTCATGGCATCCAAGACGGCCCGCGAGGCCTCCAAGATCGTCCCAAGACGGCCCAAGAGACTCCCTACAGGGCTCCGAGACGGCCCAAGAGAGCCCCAGGCAGGCCCACGAGGCCCTCCGTAGCAAACTTGGCTCAAGCCATTTTGGTTCAAGCCACGTTGGGTTGAAGCCTTTGCGGTTCGAAACGTTGTGGCTCAAGCTGTTTTGTGTTGGCCGGTGCCACTTGGATGTTTCTGTGAGAAGAAGCCGGTGAGTTTGTAATCTGTCGATTTGTTGATGGTTATGCCTTGCAGTCTGGGCGCCGCCCTGCTGAATGCGCTCCTCCGTGCTTCTGCTAAGTCGGGGCGGGCGCCCTCCGCTGGGCATCCAGGCGGCCGCTCTCGAGGCACGAGCGCATGGGGGCGTATGCCTTTCACGGACGTACAAAAGTTCACTTGACCATTTGAGGTGGCAGTGCGCGGAGGGACACCAATGGTCTACTTCGCTGCACACCGTGAAGGGCAATGCTTCCAGGACAGGTTCGTGGTGCCCGCAGTGTGCTAACGCACGGAGGACGTTGCAACGCCAGCTCGCTCGCCTCGAAGTGGCTACGCAGGAGGCGTTGTCTCGGGGTGGGTGGTGCTTAAGCAAATCATATGGAAACCAAAACGTGCCGTTAGAATGGAGGTGCAGTCAGGGGCATCATTGGCAGATGCCGCTCAGACGTATCATGAAGGGTGCTTGGTGCCCAGTGTGCGATAGCGACAATATGTTAGAGATCGCCGCCCGTATCGCGAAGGCAAGGGGTGGATCATGTCTGTCCGCCAATTACGTGAACTCCAACATCCCGATACGTTGGCGATGCGCTAACGGACACGAGTGGTGTGCGCGACCCGCTGCAGTTTGGAGAGGAACATGGTGCAAAGAATGCCATTACAATAGTCGAAGGCTTGGCCTCGGGGCTGCTGTTGCGATAGCTCGACAGCGTGGTGGACAGTGTCTGTCTACATCTTTTGTTAATGCGAAGAGCGCTCTTCATTGGAAATGCGCGCACGGGCACGAATGGCATGTTGCTTTGAATCACGTTAAGTATTCTGATTCTTGGTGCCCACAGTGTGCTTCGGGAAAGACCGAACAAACAGTTCGCAGCATTTTTGAGCGCATATTTCAAGGCCTGCGTTTTCCGAACTGCCGGCCGCGGTTCTTGGTTGGTCGATTTGGACGTTCGTTGGAGTTGGACGGTTATTGTGAGTCTTTAAATTTAGCATTTGAGTACAATGGTGAGCAACACTACGCTCACGATGCATATTTCAATCGGAAGAGTGGCGAAGCTTGCCGGGACACATTTCGCAAGCTTTTGACGCGCGACGAGTTAAAAGCCTCTCTTTGCGCAGCTGTGGGGGTAAAGCTTGTTGTTGTGCCATACTGGGTCAAAGACAGATGGAGCTTTATCCGCGTATCTTTGCTTCAATGGTTTTGTGTGGCAGAG